CTAAGTCCATCAGGACTTGATAAACGAAAAGGACAACTTTGTTGACAAATGCCTAAAGCTACATTATATTATTTAATCATTCATATTAAGACATAAATTGCCGAGATGGAGTCAGACTGGGATGATTCGCAGAAAGCTATTGAGGCAAAATACCAGTTAAACAATCAATGTAGGAGAAATACCTAGTACAAAATATGCATAATTAATAAACTAAATTGGAATTTGTTTCTTCTCCGTGTGTGCTGTCGTGGTGTAACTGGTAGCCCGTCTGACTGGCCATCGGAAAATCCTTGGTTTGAATTCTGTTAAGGGCATAGCAGATTTATTACATTTCTTGGCTTCGAAACTTCCGACAGCTATACAAGATGTTTCTTTTTTTAACGATATAATCAAACACATTTATAAAATTTCCTGGTTGTATATAAAATTATAAATCAATAAAAGATAAATTTATGTTCTCAAATAATAAACTTATGATTTTCTATTAAATAACTAACTCGAATGTGCTTCGGCTCATGTTAGAAAATAATTCCAGTTGATATATATATAAACATGGGATCATTTTGCGTTTTGAAGAAACAACAAAATATTTGAAGTTAGGTATTTGCTTTATTTTCCCCCTTACGGGAAAGAAAGGATCATGAAGAGTGAATGAAACACAGATTGTACTCTGCGTCTACACGATAGACTAATCACTGGAATTTTTTTTAACGTAACGGAAAAAAAAATATTCTTGAGCCATCAGTAATTAATAAGCTCTTTTACGAGTAAACAGTAAAAACATATTGGTATTAGATAAACTGATACTTAGCAACATACTGTGATAAAAAACAATTAACATGCTCTTTATTCTTTGAAAACCGAAAAACATGATTATGTAAAATCGATTAGCAAATAACCTTCGTTAGACGTTATTATTTATTGGCTTTATCTTGCATGTAAGCATTAACTCTTTGGAAGTTTAGTTACATCAGCCTTTTATCGCGTAGGAGTTAAACGTAAGCTACATGAAACTATATTTAATTTTAATTGATTCAGCTTACTTATGTTTAAAATACTTATGCCATATAATGAAAATTTTACTTTAAAATACATTTAGCAGTTAAGCGTCGATGATACTGCCGCACACTTGTAGAGACATTAAGTATTTTGGGAAGCAGGGAAGACGAAAAATAGCAAGCCGCCTTCGCCGGGAATCGAACCACGGACCTCTGGAATACCGGCGCAGCGTGCAGAACCACTACACCACGAAGGCATGCTAGGAAAGTGGAAGAAATACCTTATATACTCTTCCTTTTAAAGGGCGACTGGGGTTTTCAGGGGACCCAATCGCCAAATCCTGGGTGTGGAGAAACCTCATCCAACACCCTTTTAGTTCGGGCGCCACTGTAGAGACATTAGGTATTTTTCGAAGTAGGCAAGATGAAAAATAGCAAACCGCTTTCGCCGGGAATCGAACCACGGACCTCTGGAATATCGGTCCAGAGTGCAGAACCACTACACAACGAAGGGACGCTAGGAATGTGGGAGAAACACCGTATACGCTAACTTGCAAATGCATATTACATCATAATAAGTATGCTGAATAAGTTTGTTACCATAAAACAAAAGTTATAGTAACAAAATTAAGTTAAATCAGGCTTTCCCATGAGCATATTTTCAGCGATGCAGTCCATATTTATTAAATTGCCTTTAATGTAATGATTTATTCACATGCTAGGCTCATATTAAATGCTAACATCACAAAAATTTGTTTCTTGGTGACGGAATTGGCTGGTTGCATTGATGGTGTTATTTTCTGTACTTTAAGCAGATTATTACTGTACTTTAACAGTTTAAGCAGATAGCTTTCTTTTAAGATTATTTTCAGAAAAGATACAGTAAACAGTGGGACTCAATAAATGTTTCGGAACAATTTTTCATTGCTTGCGCATTTTAAAAAATGGAAATCTGTTGAAGGATTTAGATTTCTTTTAAGTGCCATAACTGGTGACATGCTGAAAACCAATATTTGATTAACAATTATTGTTTCACTTTCTTTAAAACAGTTAATCTTTTCTTTATCTATTTAAATGCAATATTTTATTAATACGAACTTAAACACACATATGCAAAGACAGTTTATTTATATAAAGCGATATTCTTATAAATCATTGAAAGATAACTTATCCTTCTATGCGGTATGTAAGCATCTCAATTTTTCAAGAAAATATTCATTATAAAATAGGATAATTGAGAATAATATTATGCATGGCAGAAGAGTTCTGTATTTCCACAATCTATAAAGAAGACGCACATTTGTTATTCAACATTTATCCACGTGTCAAGCATGTGCTATGCATGCTTTTTTAAATAACAATTCATGATCTTTTTGACGAGAATCTTAGAATATGGTGCATATTCTACCCTTACAATCTCAGACGGAGCTCTACAGATTACTCTGCAATTAGAACGATTCTGAAGAGAGATGGTACATTCGAGTTATCGAATCCCACGGCTCCTGCAAAAAAACTAGGTTAGGAACTAGAACTTGCGCGTATTTTTCGCGAATCGAAACTTTCGAATTCAAACCTAAAAATGTTACAGGTTTCAACTCCAAAAGTTATAAATCTAAGCTTTGTTGACTCAAATAGGAACTTACTAAATTATTAAGGCGTAGAATTTTACTGGTACCTGGATGGCGAGTAGGCCCTAGTGACGACTCTGAATGTCACAAAACGTCAGTAATCCATCTAGAGAAATCTATCAAATTTTTAAGTAAGTGATAGGCAGCGTTTTCTCGTAATTTCTCGAAACTACGAAACATTTTTAATAACCTTCATAGTTGCGGATTCTTGAGTCATCTTGATAGTTTTGTACGTACATAGTCTACCATTAATTTGTTTTAGATGTTTCTAGCAAGTCTAGTGAATTCTAGTACATATATACTCTGAGTAACAAACATACAGTGGTTGGACAAAAATATGGAAACACCAAAATAAAAATATATTCTGGTGACTAATAAGGTGTAGGAAAACCGTTGGCATTCAAAACAGCTTGCAGGCTTCTAGAAATGGATAAATAGAGGTCTTGTAGGCTGTGCAAGGGTATCTTATTACCATTCTTCCTGTAAAACATTGGCAAGTGCAGTTAAAGATGGCAGTGGATAGCGCTCACGCAGATTTCTCCAAACCATCCCACAAAGGTTGAATAATATTGAATCTGGCGCCTGTGGTAGCGATTAATATCTGGCGAATGTGGTAGCCATAGTAGATATGAAAGTTCACACTCCTGCTCAGAAAATCATTCCTGGACGATATGAGCTGAGTGCATAGGAGCTCAGTAATCTTGGAATATGACATCACTGCATCACAGTTAGGGACAAAAATTTGTACCACGGGATGGACGTGATCAGTCAAAATGGTCATATAATGATTTGCAGATGTGACCTTGCACAGTAATGATAGACCCCATGGAATACCTCGATATGGTTTCCCAAACCAAGACCAAACCCCGCATGTTTCACTGTCGACAGCAAACAGTCTCTATCAAACGCTTGGGACGGCGTTCGCCAGGCGTAACACTCATCTCTCCCAGAAGTCGGAATTAATGTGAAGCAAGATTCATCGGACCCGATTCATCATTACATCTGTACCTGTGTCTATACCATTTCCTTCATATATCTGTATGCCTAAAATGTACCATAATAGTGAAACGTGTTCCCGCTTAGTCTCAACAGTCCCCACCATGCACCTTCTTTCCATGTTCTGGTCTTTCATTCAATGTTCCTCGTTTAGCGTGGTCAGTTCTCGGAGGACACGGCACTAAGCTCTAAATGTAATCAGTTCCCGGAGGACACAGTATTAGGCTCCTTTTTTCAAATTCCATCGATGGGATCCAACAGGCTGAAGAGCACCTAACCGAGTGGGCCAGCTGTTCTGTCGATGACGAAAAGAAAGAAAGTCTTCCATTGCTCTCCAGTCCTAGTTTTATGACTTTGGAACCGCTTTCTTCTCTTACAGGCATTTTGATCTCTGATGATCTTTCGAATTGTAGCTCGCCAAAAACTACCCTGCTTGTGGAGCTCCCTACGTATTGTTTCGGTGCTGACAGGATTTGTGATTTGTGAGTGTGACATTCTGTTCATCAGTCACTTTTGAGGCTGCACTTCTCTTAGTTTTTATCACAATCCCCTTCAAAGGTCGTCTGTGATGATCACTCAACACACATTTTCGTTCACGCTGTGAATGAGCGGAAGCGGCTTCCCTGTATGAGTTAAAAAATCTCTGTGCTTCTTGAAACACCAGACACTTCAGATACCTTGGTTACGGAAGCATCGACCATATCATACCCAACAATTTGCCCACGTTCGAATTCATTTAGCTCCGACATAATGCGTTCACAACTGCACAGAACACTATCTTGATAATCAATGACACTTGTAATGTATTGAGGATGGTGTACAGGTGGCGTTAGTGAGCAAACACATCAGCGCCACCAATAGCTTTTGTAAGAATAAATATTTCAGTTCAAACATGCATTTTACGAGGGGCTTCCATATTTTTTATTTTTGTCCAACCTCTGTAATTACATCTGCCTATTGACAGCACTACTCAGTCACAGTTGTTGAATCACGGATAACTGAAAGTTCAAGTATCATATGCTTTTTTTTTTTTCGAATTATATTCAGAAAAGGAGCTTGAAGGTTCAAGAGTTTAAACTATATAAACTTCATTTATTAAACTTTGTTTAAATCTTCTAAACAAATATTAGTTTATTTAAAAAAGTTGACTTACATTTGATAGCCATTTAACTGAGATTTCAGAATTTTCTTTTAATAAGTTTTTCTCCTCTTCTTATTCTTATTTGAAGGATTTATATGATCTTGGTCTCGAAAATTAAAGATTCACATCATCTCAGATTTGGAAATAAACATTATTAATACTATACAAATATGATTTATAAAAATTTCGTTATGATTGTAGTACATTCCATCATATGAAAATTAAATGGAGTCTTACCTCTTATATAACTGCTCAGCCTCTCTGTTGTTTTTTAGCGATCGTAAGCTCCTTGCTGCGTTAACAATAGCAACGGTGTGGTTTGGCTGCAGACGCATGGCTTGACGGTATTGTTGAACAGCTTCTTCGGCTCTTCCTAAAAAACAAAAGGAAAACAAAATAGAGACATTTGTATGCGACCTTTCAGTATGGTTTCTTGAATGTTGTATGCTACAACTGTTAAAAAACAAAGCAGTAGCTCTTCAATTATATGTGCGATTAAAGTTTTTAACACGTATTATTTCCATTTCTGAAAGAAACTATTTGGTGTTCCACATTATAGCAATTCTTTTATATTTAATCCTGAGAAATATCTTAATGCTAATTATTATTTTTAAATTTTAAGACAACCTATCAGTTTATTCCATTTCACATTAAACATTTTTAAAAGTTTTAAGTAAGTTTAATATTAGTTTGGCATTAAACACTTTTATGAGAAATTACATAAAGTACTTAAAAGTAATAGGAAACGAAACCGGAACCAACTTTTCATTTCTGTAACAGAGAATACATAGCATTTTCATTTCTCTGCTCTTAATTTTTAACTATGTGAACTTTGGCAGTGTCGAAGCCGCAAACTATGTGAATGAAACACATTTGGGGAACAAACGCAGATTTGATCGCCATCACAGATCTGATTCTCTCAAGATAGGAGATCTGCTATTATACGACTGGCCGAAACAGTTGCCTACGTGCAACAAATTCGCTCTTACTTCAACCGAGGTACGCCAATCAATGAAGATGATAGATCGCAGGAAGACGCTTCGAACTAAAATTTATTATGGCATCTTGGCTATCTAAATTTCATTTTAAACGGGAGGAAATGTAAGGCTCGCATGTGTTTTTGTATGTCGAGAACACACACACACACACAAAATATATTTATTTGAATATGTATGGCAGCAACAGTTTGTCGTTCGTTCGTTGCTAGAAAAATAAAATAATGTCGTCGGTTCATATTATCTTCATTTGCGTTTTAATAAATAAATTCTAAACATTTAATAAATAAATTTCTAAAACTTCTATTTCTAAATTCCAGTATTATTTCAGACTTTACCAATCAACCTATACGTAGTTACTTGTTTTTCTATAGCTGCGTGGTATAGCTGATTCGAATAAAGAACTAGCGGTTGTCTTGATTTGTCTTCAATACACTTGTGCAGCATAAAATAATCCTACATGATTACACAGTCATTATTGTATCATGTATGTTTTCTCTTTCCTAGCAAAGGTCTCCGAAGCAATAAAGAAAATTTATAACTCAAACGATGAGATATTTGATGTTTCTTGCATGTAGTATTTATTAAAACGCATTTCATACTACGTAGTATTTCCTTTCAGTGAAATTTCTTAAAGCCGAAAATGCGTTTGGTGCTATTTGTCACGTTTCTCCTTCATTGCAGCTTTAGGTCCGAAAAGAACTTATGGCCTAAAACAAACCGCTTGACCACTGCCGGAACGTCAGTTTCCGGCAAGACAGTCTACACAAGATCATTTTCTCGGTTACCTAAAGGAACATTTTTCAAATCCCTTTCTCCTGAATCAGAGCAATAGGGATGAAGAAACACGACTTCTCTTTCCTTAAAGGGTTTGTTTTTGATTTTACTACCACCGCAATCACCTTTTTGTTCTCTCTTTTGACTTTAAAAATTAAGTAGCAAAAATAAATAAAGAAGTGAGTAGAAGTATACATATAAATCAAAATTTCTGTATAAAACTTCTTAACATTATGCTACTAATAATTAATGACATCTGCAATAAGAAATTTTCTTTGGATAGTATACTCACATTTATATTATTTGAGACCTCAATACGTAACATATTTCATAATGTAAAATATAAAAATGTAAAATGCATTTAAAAAAATTCAAACTACAGTAACTTATTTTATCTGTATCCACACTAAATGAGTATTCCATTTAATTTGATTTGATTTAAATATGTTACACAAACGTCTTTCGACAATAGTGTACGTAATCTTGATTTGCATAATGTATAAAGTATTTGCAACGTCAGAAAATTTCGGAAATGAAGAAGATGAGCATCTAGTAATACACAATGATCAGGTGTGGTGTGGTGTATTTAATTACGGCAAAGCACACTAGGGCTATCTGCCTAAGGGATAGGATGCCTTCGTGGAGGACTTTCTAAGGGGGAACTGGCTCGTATACACGTACACATGGGGAAAACCACGAAAACGCCCATGCAGCCAGCCCGTTCGCGGGATTCGAGCCTCGGACCGAACTACCAGTGTTCAGCGACTTTACCGCTCGGCCGCTGGTGGGCACACACACAATGATCAGGAATTTACAAATTAATTATTTGTCATTCATTCGTAAATAAAAATGATTTATTGGATAAAAGGAGGAAATGTTATTAGTTTGTTTTCATTTTTATGCATAAATTTCGGTTGATTTATGTATTTCTTTACATATGCTTAAATTAAATGTAAACCAATATTGTGAATTTTAATAAATACGTCATTACAATTAAATACTGTTTTGTGTTTTTATTTAAATTAAGGCGACATACACGAGGTTACGAGCCAAAGAGACTGATTCCTTCGTGGAGGATGTTTAAGGGAAAACTATCACGTATCCAGATACCAAAAAAGGAAAACTATGAAAATTTCCTACAGACAGCCGTTCGCTGGCACTCGTATCGAACAACCAGTGTTCAGAACTTTCACTTTAAAGTGAAATTTTTGGAAGCTACTTTTCTCTTTAAAGTGAAAAGTCGCTCGCAAGCCTTAGACACTAGACGGGGATTTAATTTGCAAGCAAATATATTATAGAGACATTAGGATTTTATAGAAGCAGGCAAGATGAAAAATGAGCAATTGCCTTCGCCGGGAATCGAACCACGGACCTCTGGAATACTGGCCCAGCGTGCAGAACCACTACACCATGAAGGCACGCTAGGAAGGCGGGAGAAATACCGTATAATACGATCTACGAAACATAGAATTCATCAGAATTCCTATGATCATTTGGAAACTGAAAGACAATGCGTACTGAGCTATGAAAATAGCTAATAAAATCAATTATTAAGTTTTCCGAATACCTTAAGTCAATCTGCGTCAGTACCAAAGCCTTCTGACTTTAGCGTGTAATTTTGCTGAGAAATGTGCTATGTTCAGATTTCTTAATTTGTAGTACTTTCCTTTTTTTGTTATGAATAATTATTATTTTATTTAATCATATTTTTATACTGTATTATTTTTATTTCAATTGCAAGAATGTATATTTATGAAAAGACTTTTTAAAGGAAAACATATATGCTATTTTCTTAAATATTATTCTGAAAACTGAAGGAAAAGAACTATAAGGATTAGTTTTATTTTTCCTTTTTTTCCGTTATATGTTTTTAAATGTATATTTTTAAAGAAAAGTCAAACATTTTATATTTCTATCCTTTAAACAAAGTAGAAATCTATATCTTGATTTCTACATGTCTAGAGGTTGCTTTATGAGAGGATGCTAATTAGATTACTATTTTGAGTCTAATAAATATTCTATTCTCATAAAATGGAATAAACAATTAATACTAACAAAACATTTTTAATAAAATATTTCCTTCTTAGCCAGTAGCTGAATTACCACCCGTTCATCTTCATTTAAAATTATTAACTGCGTTTGCTCCTGTTAGCAAAGCTAGAAGAGTACAAGCTTGACTCGTGAAAAAATTTCTTCTCAACTGTTAATGTTCACAGTGTCTAGAAAATATATGGAAGTATGGGGTCAAGAGCAATTTTTCGAAAAGGATTGCGATATCAGGAATTAAACCCACATATGACAGGGTTACTTCGTCATTGAGTGATACTATTTTTGCCATTATAGTAAAGAAACTTTCAAGAGATAATTTGCGTGATGATAAGAATTCTCATAGAGCTATGCTTACTGAATCAGAGGGGCTATATATCTCATTTATTGACTGCCAGTTCTCTACTTCAGAAATCAATAATGTTATTAAAAATCTCAAAAACAAATAAACTGGTCTAAACTCTCTTTCCGATGAAATTATGAAGCACTTTCATTTGGTGGATAACAACGTTTTTTTCGCACAAAACTTTAAATATTTGTTTATTGTTTATCATTAGGAATCTTTCCAACACAACGGAAGCTTGAGCTGTTTTGATACCTAAAATTTTAGATGCAAGAAATCCTTATTTTGACAATATTAGATGCATTAACCTATTACCTACTCTGGAAAAATGTTTTCGAAATTTGTTCATTAATATAATAAATTGAAGTTAATTCAAAAATGTCTAAAACAATGAGGCATACAGCAACATTTCCCAATAAATTTATGTGAAATGCAAAGAAATTAATTTCAAGCGACGTTTAAGCAATCTGAATAACAAAAAGGGTAAGACGTTACATATCCGAGATCGGAAATGCTTTTAAAATTTATACAAGAATTTAACCCTCTATCGGGGTATTTTGAATTAATCTACTTAAACTCATGTTAAAAAACTTAGGTTTAACTATTAGCTAACATGATATTTGGGTACTCGGTCTTAAACTCCTTATGTTAACCTTCAAACATGCAAGAAATGTTGCTGTCTGTATAAAAAAGTATTTTTCTAATTATATTGTTTGCAGAATCTGTTCATATAGTTTAATGATCACCTATGGAGATTAATAAAATATAAATGCATATTAGGGATAACGTTTATATTAATTTTATTTTTCAACTTGTTTATTATTAAAACGGAATATATTAGGCTGTAGAAAATCAGGCGTAATCTTTCTGCCTACTTCACATTAATTGATTTTATGCAGGAATGGCCCAGAGACTACCGTCCTATCTCAATAATTCTAACATTCGAAAATTTCAAGAACTTTAATGAGTTTGACTAGCAACAACGAGTATCTTGTAAGCTAATAGATCTATTTTAATATCAAAGTTCATATAAAATATTTTGTATTTTGAACTTAAATCAAGAGCATTACAGTTTCCTTAGATAAATATACAATTTTATTGAACGTATTGTTCATTTGCTCCTTCTTGTTGTGCTTAATTGCGATTATTTACGTTTCATTCAGGCATTTTTCCTGATATCTGACGTTTCTGTATACATTCGCTGTAGGCTGT